AAACTAAATCAAGGTCTGAACCCCGGTCTGAAACCCGGTCTGAACCCCGCTTTGAACCATGGTCTGTACCCCGATCTGTACCAAGTCTAAACCAAGGTCTAAATCGGGTCTGTACCCCGGTCTAAACCAAGTCTAAACCAAGGTCTAAAACCAGGCCTGAATCGGGTCTGTACCCTGGTCTAAACCAAGGTCTAAAACCAGGCTTGAATCCAGTTTGGACCCTGGTCTAAACCCCAGTCTGGTACCTTGGGGTTGACGATGATCTCCAGGTCCAGCGCGTTGGCCTCGTACAGTCTCTAAACCACTGTCTGGTCTAAATCCAAGTCTAAACCCCTGTCTGGTCTAAATCCAAGTCTAAACCCCTGTCTGGTCTAAATCCAAGTCTAAACCCCTGTCTGGTCTGAACCCCGGTCTGAAACCCGCTTTGAACCATGGTCTGTACCCCGATCTGTACCAAGTCTAAACCAAGGTCTAAACTGGGTCTGAACCCTGGTCAGTACCCCAGTCTAAACCAAGACTAAACCAAGGTCTAAAACCAGGTCTGAACCCAGTCTGGACCCAGTCTGGACCCCAGTCTGGACCCCAGTCTGGACCCCAGTCTGGACCCCGGTCTGGACCCCGGTCTGGACCCCAGTCTGGTACCTTGGGGTTGACGATGATCTCCAGGTCCAGCGCGTTGGCCTCGTACACTCTCTTGATCGCCGGGAGGGAGATCCACAGGTTGTTGGTGTTGAAGATCTTAAACTTGGTGACGGATTTGAACTGGTCCACGTGAGCCTTCGGGACCTGGGCGATCTCCAGCAGACGCAGACGCTCCTCGTACTCGATCGGCGTCCCGCCCTGAGACACACGCACGCCGTTAACTCTCCGTTTATTTATTTAAAAGTCCTAAATTACGCAAAAATCACCTGAGCTTTTAGTTGAAATGTTGCTCCTTCATCAAAAACAAAGTGGAGTTGTGTTTTTTTTAATTCACATGTTTGAGTAACTCTTTATTATTAATCTGTCTATGCCTCCAAAGTTCAAACTGCTCTGTTCCACCTTGTGACGTCATCAGGTGGTCATTTTATAGGTTTGGTTTGTTATAGGGATGTAACAATAATCTAAATATTGTGATATCGTATCGAGAGATTTGGATATAGATAGATTTACCTAAAAAAAAAAAAAAGACAATTTATGCCTCGTTTATTGTTGTCAGGGATCAAATTACCATATTTTTCTGATTATAAATCGCGCTTTTTTCATGTTTTGAGTGTTTCCTGCGACTTATATATTAAAATGTTCACACTGACAGCCTCGAGAGGTTCTAGTCTTGTGTGTCAGTATCTAAGGCTGCGTTCAGACTGCAGCCTGAATGACACAGATCCGATTTTTTTCAAATGAGACCCAGGACACTTGGATCTGTGCTCCTGAAACCGATACATATCTGATCTTTTGACATGTGACTTCAGTCTGAACGGTCAAAGTGCATTCATCCACCTACACGTTATCAACAAGACACAAACATCATTATTCTGCACTGAAGTCGGTGAAAACTGTTAATGAACTCTGTGTGACTGAAGTGAAGCACATCTCCACTCACCGCTCTTGGCTCCGTCTCCACATCCACACGTTCCTTTCAACGTTCTGTCCCACATAACACCACGACCAAAAACCTCGTCCTTCTCCTTCTCAATCTCCTCCTTAAAACAAGTAAATTGTTCATGTTCTGGCTCCGGTACGAGAGGAACTTTAAAATCTCCAGGTGCTCGATGCTGCGTCCATGTTTGGACAACTTCCGTAAACACAGAGACGCTCGCTGCGGTTGACGTCGTCGTGTCTCCAGTGTCACATGCGGGACACTTTTGGGACGTTTAATGTTCACACAGGGGATCAAATACAAGTCAAATTTAATTGATAATGTGAACGACCTCGCAAAAACATCGGATTTTACAAAAAAATCGGAATTGAGCGTTAAGCCCTGCAGTCTGAACGTAGCCTATTACTCTTGTACCACTGTCACTTCGCTCTACTGCGCATGTCTTCTGTAGAAAAAGCCGTTGTTCTGCTGCAAATAGTGAAATATTCAGCCAAAAACGGTAATCGAGCAGCAGAAAGAAAGTTTGGAGTGAGAGAGAAACTTGTGAGGGACTGGCGGAAAGCAGGGATGGAGAACACAGCTTCACGGGAACTGGGAGGCACCATGAAACCTTCCTGAAGTCACTGGATGAATCGACAAAGCCTGGACTTCAGTGACACCGAAACCATCCTGTCGGGACTCAGAAAGACCAGAATAATTCTAACTGGAACTGATGCTGAGTCTGATGACGGCGACACAGAAGAGGAAGCGGCGCTCTGTTTACATCATGGATCTACGGTTTATCTCCAGAAGTTGCTCAGAAGTGACACCGAGGATGAAGAATTCAATGGATTTAGTGATTTGGAGTGAGATCGTGAGTTTGGTAAAATTGTTCTGTTGTTTATGCTATAATTATCTGAATAACTGTTCATATGTGACGTTAAAGGGCCGTTCACACCAAGGCATCAAAGCGTCCAGTTTCTATGTAAAGTCGATGTGGACGCGCGACTAGAGCGCCCGGCGTTTTTGCGGTGCATTTTCGGCGTCAGCGCGGCGCGAATCTGGCGTTTTTGCGGTGTGTCTTGAGCGTTTTGGCGTCGGCGGTCTAGACGCGCGTCCAAGGTGTCAGCGTCAAGAAGCTGAAAATGCTGAACTTTTCGCGTCAGACTCGCCGCGTCGACCAATCAGGGACGAGTATCCAGAGACGCGGCGACGTTATTATCAGGAAGAAAAACCCCAGAATCAGAACGAGAAACACAAACATGAACGGAGAATAAATATATACACCACAATCACCGAGACGATTGCGAGGACTACACCAGGACCGGACCAGGACTAAACCAGGACTAGACCAGGACTAAACAAGGACTAGACCGGGAGTAGACCGAGACTACACCGGTATTAGACCAAGTGTAAATAACCTATTGTATAATTTGTCTTGTTGAAATCTCTTGTGACTTTTTATGATTGTTTTTTTTGTGTTGCACCATTTTTTGTTGTGGACTATTGACTTGCCCGTTTGTGTTTGGCGCTTTTATTTTGAAAGGTTTATGTTTGTGGTTACCTTGACAACGAGAGGGGAGAAACGTTGCAGAGCAAATGTGTAGATATAATTTTTGGTATTTTTCTAAGGTTTTTGTTTAGTTTTCCCTCTGAAGAGGCACAAAGGTAAGTTTTTGATGTAAATATTTCTTTGAATAATTTTTTGTGTCTCTAGTTTTTATTATTGTTGTTTAATGTTGTCTAGATTAATGTAAATATTTATCAAACTTCCGTTAAGTTTTGTGAATGCGTATTTCCACATTGTATTTGTGTTCTTTTTAGCTCTTACGGCAGATTTGAAGGATTTATTGACATTAAATCTAAAAATCGCCAGTTCAAGTGTCAAGTCTTCATTCAGAGGGATATGCTACAGTAAGAGCTTTACCTCCACTCGCTACACCGAGCTGCCTGTGGATTCAAGGGACGGCAACGGCACAGAGCAGCTGGCTGCAGCGGACAACGGTTAACGGATACGGTGAAAGACATCTACACTGATAATGGAGGATAAAGAAGTGCAAATACACAAATTACAAATGGATATAGAGGAAAAGAGAGCTTTGTTACACCAAGCAAATACCGAGAGCATGTCAAGACAAGAATTAAAGGACGAATTAGGATATATGGAAAGACAATTAGCTGAACTGCAACGTAAAATTGAACCAACAGCTGATGGAGCGCAACCTCGTAGGTCCGAGCGATCTAGTGTGCCCACAGAAAAAATGCTTGCCTATCACAGAGAAGAACTGATTAAAAGAGAGAGAAAACTGCTAAGTATTTATGAACAATGGAAAAGCCAAGTCAGAACGTATAGAGAATATTTAAAGAATGACTTACCAGACACCAAGTTAGCAGTAATGGCAGATGATATTGAAAAGGCAATGAACGACATGATGAAAGCATACAGTGAAATAAGAGATCGCACTACACCATCTCCTGATATAAGGCGTAAAATGGACTCTTGTGAAGCCGTAACTAAGGACATTATGAAAATAATTTTTGAACGTTTAGCGGCAATAGATGAATATGATGCAGAAAGAGAAAGGCAGCGACTTCACCGACTCTTAGCTCACGAATATGCCCGATCCATCTACGGTACTGCCTCACATTCAGGTATCAGTCGGCAGTCAGAAACTTTAAGCATAGCAGCCAAGAGAATTGATGCGGCTGCGGAATTAGCCGCAAAGGAAGCGCAGTATAAAATCGCGCAAGAGGAAATTAAACAAAAGGAGAAAATAAGGGACATGGAAGAGCAACACAAGAGGGAATTAGATGCACAGAAATCTGAACTTGAGCGTTTAAGGGCTGAAAAGGAAATGCAAGCTGCTCATGCAAAACTACAGATTTATGACAAAGAAATGAAAGTGGACACAGACAGTCAGGTTATGTCACAGCGC